AGGTGACGAGCAAGTTGGTCTTTAATTAAACATATAATTGGCCAACTTTAATATATCGTGTTTTTGACATCCAACTTTATATTTAAAATAATAATAACAATTTCAATTTTAAAGAAAGACTTGTAAACCTTGCATTACTTGACATAGTTGTCTACTATCTTACGTAAACAAACTACACTTACAATTTTTTTCGGCAAACTTATATTATATGTATTTATCATATCACTCATTCACATTTGTTAAGTATTTAATTGTATTAAATTCTTATATATACAAAAAAATTTAACATATATGTATTCTACAGTGTAAAAACTTTTCAGGGCATATTGGCTTCTCTAAAGTGTAAAACTTAACAGGTTTACGATTTGAATATCCCTGTTATTTAATAAACAATATTCTTTTATTAGTATTCTATAGATGAATATTTTAACATATATGTTAAACAAGCATAATTTTACAGTACAGTATTTTAGAAATTAAAAAATATATTTATTACTTTATTTCAAAATTTATATAAAATAATATACTGTAAATTATTGATATAAGAATAGCACGTTTGTAATGTTTTTTAGAACGTGGATTTATATATTAATTTTAAGAGTAATGTTAAACGTATAAAGAAATTTTTCAAAAATTTATGTATAAAATGATGTGATAAAAAATAAATAATAAAAGAGTGAATACTGTTGGTCAAAGGACGAAACTGCAAACAATTCAAATAGCAGGAGGACATTGTAATTCTGCAATACGATGTCGTTTTTGCTTTCAGTAAAGTTAATTGTAAAATACACTTTACTTAAAACCACTTTACTCTTCGTTCTTGTTTCTGTATAAAAAGAATAAAGTAGCTCTTCACTGTAGCTTGATAATTGAATCATTGAAAATACGAAATTAAACACTTTTCTCTGTTTTTTTCTGTTTCATTTGCAAACCCTAAGCTAGATTTACATGGTATCAGAGCCAGCCCCATTTGAGCTGAGTGATTGACCAGCGGTGGGCTGCCAAACTACCCCCATTCATAGGCAAGTGGACCATATGGGCTTGACTGTGAGGGGAAGTGTTGGAGATCCCATATCGACTAGGCACACTCAAGCCACTGGGTTTATAAGAGTGGACAATCCTCCCACTCAATAAGGCCTTTTGGGTGAGGAGTTAGGCCCAACTCAAATTCTAACATGGTATCAGAGCAAAATTGAATATTGTTTCTCCCACTGCAGACATGAATATTGTTGGCAATAAATGGGTTTTCAGAACAAAATTGAATGCTGATGGTACTTTGCAGAAGTACAAAGCCAGGCTAGTAGCTAAGGGGTTTCAACAAACTCCTGGTTTGGACTATTTTGAGACGTTTAGTCCAGTTATCAAACCATCCACTATCAGAATAGTTCTCACTTTAGCAGTAACTAATGCATGGGATGTTCAACAAATTGATGTCAACAATACGTTTCTTAATGGTACTTTAAGTGAGATAGTGTTTATGCAGCAACCAAGTGGATTTCAATCAGCTGCTCACCCATCATATGTGTGCAAATTAAACAAGGCTCTATATGGCCTTAAACAGGCCCCTAGGGCATGATTTGATAAACTCAAGGCTGCTCTCCAAGCCAAAGGCTTTCAAAACTCAGTTTCAGATTCGAGTTTATTTGTTCTTAAGAAATCATCAGGACTAATCTATGTTCTTGTTTTTGTAGATGATATTTTAATCACTGGTTTTGATGCAGCCTATATAACTCAGTTGTTGGAAGATTTAAATGAGCAATTTGCCTTGAAAACTCTAGGATCACTTAAATATTTTTTGGGCTTAGAAGCAGTTAGGACATCCACTGGTTTACATCTCAGGCAGTCCAAATATGCCTCAGACTTGCTTGTCAAAACCAGAATGATGGATGCTCACCCATGCTCTACACCAATGGCTGTAGACTGAGTACTGATGATAGTGATTTATTTGAAAGCCCTACATTATATTGCAGCACAATAGGAGCTTTGCAGTACCTAACATTGACTAGACTAGATATTAGCTTCACAGTTAATCGTCTTAGTCAGTTTTTACAAGCTCCAACTGAGTTACAATGGCAAGCATGCAAGCGAGTCCTTCGATATGTTAAAGGGACACTACACTATGGGTTGCAGTTTAAACCAGCAAGTTCTCTAAACATTGAGTGCTATTCTGATGCTGATTGGGGTAGTAATGTTGAAGATAGGAGGTCTACTAGTGGATATTGTGTCTATCTTGGACCTAATCTAATTCAGTGGAGCTCTAGGAAACAAAAAGTTGTTGCATTATCATCTACTGAAGCTGAATACAGGGCATTAGCACAAACTGCTACAGAGGTTGCATGGCTTCAGAGTATGTTTACTGAACTCAATCTTCACCTGCCCTCGAAACCTGTCATTTGGTGTGACAACACAAGTGCTGGAGCCTTAGCTTCAAATCCAGTTTTTCACGCACGAACAAAGCATATAGAAATAGATGCTCACTATATTAGGGAGCAAGTTCTTGCCAAGAATTTGACAGTTCAGTATGTACCATCGAAATTGCATATTGCGGATGTGTTGACAAAGGCTTTATCTGCTGCTCAATTTACTTAGCTGAGGCAGAAACTAAATGTGGTTGCAGTTTCTTGTAATACGTACTGATTCTTATCTGTTTCTGTAATGCAGAAGAAGATCAAAATGCACCTGGAAAGTGGTTGAAATCTGCTGTTGAAAAATGGTTGAAAAATACAGTCTATACTGTACTGATTCTTATCTGTTTCTGTAATGCAGAAGAAGATCAAAATGCACCTGGAAAGTGGTTGAAATCTGCTGTTGAAAAATGGTTGAAAAATGCAGTCTATACTGTACTGAGTCTCAACTGTCATTTTACTGATTTACTGATTTCTGTGTTTGTGCTACTAGTTCTGTAGTACAGAAGGTGACAGATGTGTTTTTTCTTTGATGGTTGTTTACAAATGGAGTTTTGAAGGAGTTGTGGTAGAGTGTAGAGTTGTGGCAGTAGTGACAGATGGGTGGTCTATAGTAGTGGCAGATTGTGATTTTTTTTTTGATGATTTTGAGATAGTTTACAGAATTGAGAAGAGTTGGGTGTAGAGTTGTTAAACTGGAGGTTGTGGTTGAACTGTATGATTGAGATAGGAGTTGTTAAGTTGAGTAGTTGAGATATTGTTTTGAGGAGTTGTTAAGTTGAGTTGTTGAGATATTGTTTTGAGCTAGTTGTTTTGTTCTTGGTGTTGATTAATTGAAGTTAGTTAGTTGAAGGTTTTTTTTTCTTCATTGGGTGTTATGATTTAGCCAGCTAAATATGCTGAGTTCCACTAAAAATGTGCCACTGATGAGTTGATCTACTGAAAGTTGAAATTGCTGAAACTAGAATTGCAGAGTTGTTTTTGCATTGGTGTTGTAAAGTTGAAATTGCTGAAACTAGAATTGTAGAGTTGTTTTTGCATCGGTGTTGTTTTTTTTTTTGCAACTGGAAATGTGCTGCTGCAGAGTGATCAGTTGAAGTTAAAACTGGTGAAACTAAAATTGCAGAGTAGTTTTGAGCTAGATTATGTTCTTCTTGTTGTTTTTGCAACTGAAAATGTTTTGCTGCAGAGTGATCAGTTGAAGTTAAAACTGGTGAAGCTGAAATTGCAGAGTAGCTTTGAGCTGGATTATGGTCTTCTTGTTGTTTTTAATGCCACTGAAAAGCTGCTCATCTTAAATTGACAATGCATATGGAGAACTGAAGTTGAGCTGCTTATCCTGAGTAGCTGAGTAGCTGAAATTGAAGAAGTTGAGTGTGTGTTACCTCAAGGGGTTATATGAACACAAAGGTATCAGACAGATACTTTAGTTTCAGAAGGGGTGTTGGTAAAAGAGCCAATAAATTTGGAATGCTAGTAGAAGAAAGATTGCTGAAGCAGCAGAAGGAAAATGTCTAGTTTGAGAGGGGATGTTGGTCAAAGGATGAAACTGCAAACAATTCAAATAGCAGGAGGACATTGTAATTCTGCAATACGATGTCGTTTTTGCTTTCAGTAAAGTTAGTTGTAAAATACACTTTACTTAAAACCACTTTACTCTTCGTTCTTGTTTCTGTATAAAAAGAGTAAAGTAGCTCTTCACTGTAGCTTGATAATTGAATCATTGAAAATACGAAATTAAACACTTTTCTCTGTTTTTTTTCTATTTCATTTGCAAACCCTAAGCTAGATTTACAAATACAAAAAATCAAACTTGTCAAATTCATTATTTTATTAATTTTCTATCACATCACTTTGTACAAAACTATTTATAAGATTTCTTTGTACGTTTATTGTTATTGTAATTTTAATAGATCAACTAATCCTTATTAGTTTAGGATTGGTGATGGCGTTAATTGGATGCATAGTGACTGAGTATCAATGACACAACCAATGTTTGTTTTTTATTTTTAAAAGATATTAAATTATAGATTAAATTCAATGATTATTATTATTAATTTACTTCATCTTTTACGTTCTTTCATAAGGGTATTTAGTAATTGGCATATTGTTAAATCATGAGCTTGAAAGTGAACCAAATTTAAATGTATTTAATGATCAGTTTGTAGTGTTAACTAACCAAAATAACTCAACCGCGTAAAGGATTATTAAAGTTTTCAACATCCCTTATTTTCATAAAGTATTATACACATAAGTGCATAAGAATATATTTATTTTCTTTATAAACGTAAGTGTATAAGAATTATTTGGTGACAATAATAGTTTTAATAATTGTAGTAATAAAATCTTGGGAAGGGATTGCTAATGGGTATGCACGAACTAAATTCATTCACTTCATTTTTTTAATTTTTTATTGCTTTTGTACATCAAGCTTAATTTTCTTTATATATAGGAGAGAAATAACAGAGAGAACATATAGACTCAACAAAGAGAAAATCAATAAACAGAAAAATTATCTAGACTACGCTTTACTTAATTTTGAGATTATTCAGAATAATAGAAATAGAGATAACCAAACAAACAGTCGATTGGGAAACTTTCCAAAGGGTTATTCAGTACAAACATGCACTCAATCAAGCAGAAAAATAGGGAATTTCCATTTTCCCTTTAAGTTCAATGAAGTACAACAACCGCAAATTTCAAAAAGTGACAAATACACCCCAAATAACAATTCAAGAACACAAAGATAAAAAAACATCACATTAGCAGCAATCGGAATCGAAACTTCTTGCACTTGCTGAAGACTTTGACAGAACCTCCAGGAAAACTGGGACAGTCGAACAACACAAGTTACACAATAAGCAAAAAGTAGATATTAGAAAATAATTATACCAAAAAAAAAAAAAAAAAAAAGCCTATAGAGACATTGTACACAGAAACTACGCAACGAAACATTAATCCAAAAACTACAATAATATATTTATCATCAATACAGCTTGTTTTCATCCGTGGATTGTCAAACTTATGAACGATGGGCTGAGCCTATAACTATGAAAATTTTATTTTGAACTTTGCTGTTATGGAAGTATGAATAGAAATAGAAATAAATTAATTTCTCCTTAGTGCAATAACCAGTATTGAAGGGTATTCCAACAATAACATTATAGCTAGCACATTTAAACAATTTCCAAGCTCAATTATAACTAGGGGTGTTCAAAAGAACCGGTTGGAACCGGAACCGGCGGGTACCCTGGGTTTGGTTCCGGTTCCTACCCAGAACCAATCGTCAATGGGTAGGTTTTTGTTCCAAATTTTTGGAACCGTTACTGTACGGTTCCGGTTCTGGTTCCTATAGTTAGGAACCGGAACTAGGAACCAGGAACCGAGACTAATATAAAATAAAATTAAATATTAGGGGGGTTAATAAAAACTTTTGTAGAAAAAGTAATGTGAATACATTTATATTTATATTTCATAACATTTAAAGTAAGTTGGTTTGACTTTTGAGAATCTGCTTTTATAAAGTAATGGAGTTTATCATTTTGAATTTATAATTTGTAATTTTATTTTTGTTAACAAGTGCCAGGTGGGGGCGTATTTGTAAGTTTTTAAGGGTTTTTTTACCATTTTAAAAACTTTTGGGGGGTCATTGTAATTTTATAGGATACCCAGGACCGGAACTGGAACAGTTGTTACAGGTTCTGGTTCTGGGTATCTAGGAATCGGAACCGTCGGTTCTGGTTCTGGTTCCAAATTTCAAGGAACCGTCGGTTCTGGTTCCGGTTCCGGTTCCTTCAAAAAGTATAGGGTACCCAGAACCGAAAACCCCTAATTATAACAATGAAAATAAGAAGAGAGATTTCTACACGTACCTGATCGATCATTCATTGTCCCTCGATGATGAAGCAACTTCAGGGTCAAGATGACTCTCCAAATTAAGAATGTTTAGCGGCTTCCGTCTGCAGCTTTCACTCAGGGGAGGAGATTTTTGTATCTTCAATTCTCTAAGGGCAGTGAGTTTCTCCATCCCAGGAGGCAGAGATGACAATCCTGAGCAACTCACAATCTCAAGTTTTTGAAGGGCTGTGAGACTTGCAAGCCATGCCGGTAATTCTGTGAGCTTGTGACATTCTTCAATACGGATGTACTCTAAAGTGTTAGCAGACCCTTGAAGTATTAATTGGGGTAAGTCCTCTAGCTCTTTCAATTCATAAATCATGAACACTTTAAGCGTCAGGATGAGATCTTCCCCTTGCAAGTCCATCTTCAGATTAAGCTTCGGACAGCTGGATATCACTTGCTTCTCTAACGTCTCCAGAAGTTTTACATTGTCTGGCAACGTGGTCAAGCTATCACAACCTTGCAAAATCAATGTTCGGATGGTGGTGAGACTTTCCATCCCTTCACGCAAACTTTCTAGATTCTTACACTTATATAAGTGCAGATACTGGAGAGATTTGAAACATTCAGCTCCAATTGGTGGTAGACGCTCCCACTGTATAGTTAATTCCAAATGTCTAAGGCTAATCATCTTCTGTATATTACGGGGTAAATTCTTAAGAGCTGAACAACCACGAAGTTTTAAGGTTTGCAAACGCAGAAGCTTACAAATAGTATCATAGAGTTTCTCCAAATCTGAATTCCAGGATAAGTCAAGAAATCTCAAATGTTTCAATGCAGCTACAGAATCTGGCAGCTCTTTGAATTGTAAACCGCTTAAGCATAACAGCCAGAGGCACTTAAAATTCGATATCCATTTACTGACGAAAGATTCAGCAACACGCTGAGATTGTAGACTTTGCATGATGATGGTCCGCAAGTTGTTCGAAATAGATGGAACTTTTTTATTACCATTTGCAATGCCAAGAAATGAAAAATGTCGAGCATTGCCAAGAAATGACAACTGTCGACAATTTACATCGTCAAGCAAGATTCTGAGATCTACCGTTTTGTAGTTTCTTTGTGCCATCTTCTCCACAAGATCATATATAAGATTGTGCATTTTAAATGTAAAAAAATAACCACGATCTTCAATATCCTGAAAGAAACACCTCGAAAATAATTTCTTCAAATATCGCAACCCAACATCTTCCAAATCTTCATTTTCATTTGGAAATTTAAGAAAACCATGCGCCATCCAATTACAAATCATATAATCACTGTTAAAACAAGTATTCCTTGGAAATAAAGAGCAATAGGCCAAACATCTTCGCAAATGAGATGGCAAATGAGCATAACTCAATTTTAACGCTGATAGAATGTTATCTCTATCTTTTTCTGGCTCCCATTTGACACTATCTCTAATTAATTTCCACTCCTCCGGATCTGTGTTTTTATAAAGTAGGGCTCCTAAAGTTTTTAAAACTAAGGGAACACCGCCACATTTTTCCACTATTTCTTTCCCAATTCCAATGAATTCTGATTCTGCTTTGTCTGTTTCATCCCCAAACGCGAATTTCACAAACAACGACATACAATCCCCCGGAGAAAGGCCTTCTAAAAGATAACTATCAACAGTGCCCGTTATTGACGCAACTTGGCTACTACGCGTTGTAACCACAATTTTACTTCCGTTTGCTTCTTGCGTGAATAATTGTTTTAACTTGTTCCATCGATCATAATTTTCATTCCACACATCATCCAAGACGAGCAAAAATTTCTTATCAGCCAATTCGTTTAACAAGCAGTCTTCTAACTCAACGACTCCTAATTCAGACTGATCTTTACCAGTTGCAGAAGTATAGGCTTCTTTCATTATCTTAATCATATCAAAGTCCTCAGGTACACTTACCCACATTTTTAACTTGAAGTGTTCATCTATCCTTTTGTCATCATACACTAGTTTGGCAAGAGTTGTTTTTCCAATACCTCCTAATCCAACTATAGGAATTACAGACACCCTTTCAGCTTCTTTGTTTGGTTTCATCAACAATTTTATAATGTTTTCCTCATCAGTGTCTCGTCCAAAATCTTGAGGAGTACCGACAAAGGGATGGGTCATTACATTCTCTCCTGAAGAAACAAGCTTGGTGTCTGGATCCTTAACAGCTATAGATATAGACCGAATATTATCTATCTTTTCATCTAATATTTTTCTAGTCACCTTGATTTTAAGATTATATTTGACAATATTGAGTTTGCCTACCTGTTTCGCCAGTACTTCACACTTCAATTCATCCAACAGATCCTCAGCGTCATACAACAGTTCTGAAAGCTTTTCGAGCCCGTCCTGCAGCTCGCAGTTATGTAACTGTTGTGCCTCTGCCTTCATGAGTACGGCTTTCCCCTTGAACAAGATTTCTTTGGCCTTCATTATTTCTTTTCGAATCCTTGATGACAAGCCACTGTCTGAGGAAGTAAGGAAGTCTATCTCCGTCAAAATGTTAGCTGCAATCGTTGACGGAAATGATTCTGCCATGTTCTTTGAGAGGAAAGAAAAATTGGGATAACAACTTGGCTGAGAAGTGAAAAACGATGCTTTGATCTTTTGATTATGAGTAGGTTGATACAAGACAACTTAGGTTATGAGCTCAAAGGATGAAACATGGACTTCTAAAACAAAGCCAGCAATGTTACGTAATTTAGATTCACACCCTGGTAAGGATTTAACTACCTTGTTAGGTAGCTTTATCTTTTGGTTAATCCTTTTGCCCAAACGGTAACATTACTTGTAGTAGAATATTTTTATTAAGGATCTATGTGATGAGTGTATCCAATTAAAAGTGTGTGCTTTTGAAAAACAAAGCTCTATTATAATGCGGTTAGGTACTCTTGCTCTGTCACCCATAAAATCAAGAGGTAAAGAAGTGTACTACTAATTATTTATGTTTATTATTAATTATTTGTGTTTATTATTAATATTTTGTATTTAATATCCATGTATGTATTCTATTAATTGATAAGATTACATGTTACATTCGAATAAATATATTTTTTTTTTATCGGCTAAAAGTAAGGATTACACGTTACATAAGTTTTAACTATAAGCAAATTTGAATGGTTTTAGAGAAGAAAAGAGAATTATCAGGACCGATTCTTCTAATGTGAGCTGTCTCCTTCTCATAGAAAGGATTCAAAGGATAACAGCTAGGCTCTAGCACAAGTTTAAAAAAGTTATATGATTTTAAAAAAGGTTATCACTTCAAACCCTATGAGTTGCCCTAAGACATAATTATGCATCATAAACAATATATATGTTTTTAATATAGGGGTCTCATTTTATTTTTATTTTTTTCAGTTAAAACTCTTTTTTTTTTTTTTTAATAAATTAATTAAAAGTAATATTATACATTTGGTTATACAAACTGTTATTTATTATATAATATAATGTTATGTCATTTATTCATAATTATATGTTTTCAAACTCAGCCCACGCCTTGACCCGGTCAAGGAGCCAGTTCCTAGGTTGACCCGGTCTGACCAATTGGACTGATTGGGCCAATGGTTTGACTGTTATATCTAGCAGGTTTGAAATCCAACACACATACCTTGAGAAATTCTATCAGTCCTTGTAAGTTTGAAATCTAGCAAACACACCCTTGCTATTTGGGTAGGAAACCCTAGATTAATGAATCAAATATCCCAATCCAACTCTCAAACCAAAGCCACTAAACCAACATACCATTGTTTCCCTTCCCTTCATTTTTCAAACCCTAGCCTTCCATTTCATCACTCTTAGTCTTTCATACTATGCTATCACACTGTCTGATGAAGTGGCAATAGAATTCAATTGAGAAAGGAAAAACAGTTTCACTTTTACTCCTAGAATCGATTACTGATTGAAGAGAAAATCAGAATTCACGGCGAAAGAAAAGAAGAGTCCATTTCTGCCAAGTCAGCTTCAAAGCAAGAAGGCACTTTCGCTGAATATAAAGGGGATCCATCTTTGTAAAACCAAACCCAGATCCCTTTCTAACCCATCTCTCATTCACCTTTTCTCGACTTCCCAAAATGACAACAATGAAAACAACAACAATATAAACGACAGATGGCAGGAGTAGAAGATTTCAGTGAAGATTCAGAAGAAATTTGCTTTGAAGTTTGAAGATGCCAAATGAGAATAATGTAGGGATTTCACAATTTCATTTTTCATTAACCTGGTTTCGGCACCGGATCGGTTGGACTAGCGGTTCGCTATTGTTCCTTCAGTCCAATTGCAGGTCAAAGCAAGTTAATTGCTAAAAACAATTTTCTGGTGTAACCGGCCCGACGAAGCCCTCAGTTCCCAGTCTGACTAGTTGAACTAGTCAGGCTGAGCCGGGTTGTAAAACATTGATAAGAACCCAAAAGTATTTATATGTAGATGCATATGGATCCATCCATCAAGAAAGCACACTCCACATGGGCAATGACCGGAAGGGTCCTCTAATTGATATTTTTGAAACTTGTATCCTCTTATTAATAATTTAGTAAACTTGTGAACCTCAATGATAATATCCCTCTAATGAAATAAAAATTTTATTACTACGGAAGGAATTAAAAATTATTATAGGAAAAGGTGTCACGCTTGTCGATTGGTTACATATGTATTAAGGAGATTATCACTAAATTATTAGACATAAACACCCTAACTAGCCCTGTTTCTTTATTAAAGTTAATAAGATAAGAGCAAGGCATTAATATTAAATTTTAATAAATTTACTACATTACAAAATAAAAAAAGACTTTCGTGTTTCCTTGTTCAAGTAAAGCATAAAGTATTAATTTATAATATATTTTTTTATGTGGTAGATTAGAAAATCAAAGAAAAAAATAAAATAAAAAAGAAACAAGTGTTCATTATATTGGACTAAAATAATTTTACAACTCAAATCCAATGATATACATGCATGGTCTTGATAAAATTATACTAGGACACCCTAATTAGAGAATTAGGGATATTAGGTTATCTAGTCAAGATGTCTTTATATTAATTTTGTCATGACTATGCTAAACTACTGTTGGGTTCAGCTTAGTAAACTGAAATGACATTTCACAACTCAAATCTAACGGTACCAATTGTCAAGACCCTATAAGAATTGTGCGGCCTTAGTGCACAAACAAAAGATTGAACAAACAAGAGATCGAACACTGTGAAGATTTAACGAAGAAAGAAACAATGTATAGATCTGATTTGTATTGTATTGATTGAGCCAAACATTACAACCAAAATCTCTCTTATATACAAAAGAGAGAATACATGAAAGAATTCGTAAAGTGAACTAAAGTCAGTAGCTCGTTTGAGCTCAAAGTAAAGAAGGTCAACTCAAAACGACAGCGTATTGGTGAATTACTGTGAGACCCTTTATGCTTTACAGAAATGCACTTTGCACCCTTTGCATTATATGGTTAACATTTCCCCTCAAACTAGACTACTCTTCATACGGTTGAAACCTCTTGTTTCTTCCAGCAACATACTACATATCAACAGAGAACTACATTTTTACAGCTTCAAAACTGCATTTACAGTTAGTACAGCTTTAGAACTGCACCAAAAAGAAACTACATATTTCTTATCAGATTTCTTGTTTTCTTCCAGCAACATAGTACACATCAACAAAGAACAGAACTGCATTTGCACTTAGAATTGCATTTGCATAGCTACTTGCATTTTTGTAATTGAATTACTACTTACATAGTGCACACCAAAACTACATTTTCACAACTTCAGACCTGCACATTAACAAAGAACTCTTGCACACACATCAAACTTCATTTTCACAGCTTTAGACCTCCAGAATTGCACTCACAAAAACCTTCAGAACTTCACTCACAAAACCAACTAAACTGCTACTTCCAGACCTGCATTTTTCACAACTTCAGACCTGCATTTTCATAACTGAACTGCTTCTTACTTAGTACACATCAACTTCATATTCACACACATCAAACTTCATTTTCACAGCTTTATACCTCTAGAATTGCACTCACAACAATCAACTAAACTACTACTTCCAGACCTCCAGAATTGCAAATCTGTACTCACAAAACAATATATACATTAGACCACTTCCAGACTTCATTTTTACAACTAAACTGCTACTTCCAGACCTGCATCAATTTCTCAGAACACTTCCAAACCTCCAGCATTGCACTTACAAAAAAAAAAAAAAAACATAGACATCAGATCACTTCTAGAGCTTCATTTTTACAACTAAACTACTACTTTGTAATCTGAGCTTCTGCTTCAACTTCTGGACTGGTCATTGCTACAAAATTTAATTTTTCCTTTAATTCAAGGAATTGCGCTATTGATAAGGCTTTAGTAAGGACATCAGCCATTTGTAGTTTAGACGGAACATATTGAACCATGAGTTTTTTAGCTAAAACCTGATCCCTGATGTAATGAATATCAATCTCAATATGCTTGGTCTTTGAGTGAAAAGAAGGATTTGCAGCAAGAGCACCAACACTGACATTATCACACCAAATTACTGGAGGAGTGTTTAGAATCAAACCTAACTCAGAAAACATACTTTGCAACCAAGCTATTTCAGTGGCTGTGTGTGCTAAGGCTCTATATTCAGCCTCTGTTGAAGAAAGAACAATAACTCTCAGTTTTCGGGAACTCTATTGGATAAGATTAGGGCCTAGATAAACACAGTACCCACTTGTGGACCGTCAATCATCTAAACTGCTACCCCAATCTGCATCAGCATAGCATTCAACATTCAAAGACGCAGCTGGTCTGAATTGCAACCCATGATGCTGTGTACCTTTGATATACCTTAAAACTCTCTTACAAGCTTGCCATTGAAGCTCCGTTGGTGCTTGTAGAAACCGACTCAGCTTATTGACAGTAAAGTTGATGTCGGATCTGGTTAGAGTTAGGTATTGAAGTGCTCCAATGGTACTTCTGTAGAGGTTGGGATCTTTGGACAGTTCACTATCAGTGGAAGACAGTTTTGTGCCAATAGCCATGGGTGTGGGACATGCATGAGCATCCATCATCTTGGTTTTGGATAGCAAATCAACAATGTATTTTTTTTGCTTCAAAAGAATTCCAGCAGAGGTTCTTGTGGCTTCCAAACCAAGAAAGTACTTAATAGACCCAAGAGTTTTTAAGGCAAACTGATCATTAAGATCTTGAACAAGCTAATGTATGAATGAGATATTGGAGCTAGTAATTAAGATATCATCAACATATACAAGGACATAGATGATGTAGGAAACATTTTTGAAAATGAATAGGCTGGAATCAGATATAGAGTTTTTAAATCCTTTGTGCAGAAGAGCAAACTTCAGTTTATCAAACTAGGCTGTTGGAGCCTGTTTAACAATCTGCGTATCACTCATCTTGGGAACAAGGGACCAAGTGTTATTCTTTAACAATGCATCATACTCAAGTTGCATAGTTTCTCTCCATTCATTACTGACCAAGGCTTCAGTAACTGAATTAGGTTCAGGTAGAACAGGTTTTTGACCAGATATGATAAGGGTAGTTTTGTGTTGAAGACTGGTTTTTGCTCTAGTTAACAC